GAGGGCTTTCCTGAAATATTCTCAGACAAGCACCGTCACCAAGTAGAAATCACGATCGCGCCTCTTGCCCGGATGATGCCTGAACTTTGTTGAGCAGGAAATCCCAACGGTCAAAACATCAGTTTTGAAGTCCCCTTGAGGCGGGTCGAAACTGATCTTGAATTCGTGTTGTGTGTGAAAAATGACGGACGTTCTACCGAGACCATGTCAAAAAGTTAGCTGAAATATTCTCTTGCAGTAAGCCATCAGTTAGCTCAGATTGCTGCTGTTCTTCTCCTCAGTTTCGTCTCTCTCCCTTTCACTTTCCCTCCCTCACACACACACTCGCGCACGCACCATCTCACTCTCATACCCGCTTGATCACACACGCTGCCCTGAGTCCTCTCTCTCCCCTTCTCTCATCCAACCTTTTTCTCACTCCCCAGTCATATTTAAATGCGCATGGATGTTGTCCTGGCCAGATACATGAAGGTGGTCTCTCTCCCTCTCTCTCTCTCTCTCTCTCTCTCCCCCTGTGCACGAGGGCGTTTCGTTACTCTCGTCAGGCACCGCCAGTTGCTTCAAATTCAAAATACAATAAATTAAAATATAAATAATATTAATAAAAATTAAGCTTCAATCGTACGCAGGGGTCCACTCCCCCTGACTGTATGAGTCCGCATACAGTCGCCCATATAATATGAGCCCGACCCACAATTGCGTCATAGTACTTACCTCTTACTTTCTTCACTGTCTGGTCCAAATTGCTCAAATTGCAACAGCGACTGGTCCCGCTCGCAGCGGGTATACTTAATTGGCTGACCAACAGGTGTCACAGCGACGATACTTGATTGCCTCGACTGCAGTTGAGACTGGCCCCACTCACAGCGGGAATACTTAATTGGTTGATCAATAGACGCCTCAGCAAGGATACTTGATTGCCTTACCTAGCGATGAGGGCCCAAATTATTGCCCTCTATATCCACTCTCGTTCAGCAGGACCCATCAACAGCCGTAAGAAGCTGCAGCTGGTCCCATCAATAGCGGCAAGTGATTGAAGTTGGTCTCATCAGCAGCGATAAGTGTTTGCAGTTGATCTCATCAACAGCGGTAAGTGTTTGCAGATGAACTCATCAGCAGCGGTAAGTGATTGCAGCTGATCTCGTCAGCAGCGGTAAGTGATTGAAGCTGGTCTGATCTCATCACCAGCGGTAAGTGATTGCAGCTGATCTCATCAGCAGCGGCAAGTGGTTGAAGCTGATCTCATCACCAGCGGTAAGTGATTGAAGCTGATCTCATCA